CAACAGTAAGTAATATTTTCTTCATTTTAAGTGGAATGAATGGTTTCCTATCCCAATTTTATCTTGTAATGGTAAAGTTATATAGTTTATCAATTTCATGCTTTTCAAAATTCTACTATTTTATGGAGAGCAATAACATTTTATGGAGACTAATGGTCTTTTGGTAATGTAACTCTTTCAAGTTTAAGAAGGTATCATGCTGACATTATTCCAAAAGCAATTTTATCCAATTTAATATTCATATAAATTCTTCATCGTTAATTTTAAAAAAAATAATGTAATTAATTTTTATAGATTAAAGTTTAAAAGCAATTATAATTACCTTTAATAAGAAATTAAAACTATGTTTATTATATGTGTGTGTGTATATATATATATATATATATATATATATATATATATAGTTTCTTATTAATTATTTTTACGAATATTGTTGTTGACTGCTGTGGAGTTGAGCGCGACTCATAGTGACCCTATGAACAAAAGGCCTGAAGCCCCTCCACAACTATAGACATTTATCAAAGTTCATAGAGTTTCTGGAGGCATGCTATTTACTAATATAGATACACCATATTTATCTGTTTGCCTAATTATTACTGAAACAAGAATAGAAGCTATTGCTAATAGTTTTAAATCCACCAAAAGCAAATTATCACAATGACTCTGAAATTACAAACTTTTTGAAAAGATTATCAAAATAACACAACTTGTCTTCACCTGTGAAATGCGGTCAAATAAAAAGTATTTAATGCTTTTGTTACAAGTCATTCTACTTGTCATATTTATGCAAAGAATTTAAATGTAGTAATATGTTGAGTATCTTTTGTCTAAGGAAGCAATTTCAACATAGAGTTTTTATCTTCATCAACTAAGTACTGATTTTTGAGAACCCGATATTTAGAGACCACATAACTTCTAATGAAATGTGCAGCAGTGACTTACCTCAGGGTGAGACAGTTTTATTTCTGAAAAGTAGCTCAGGAGCGCTGTAATCCACCATGGTAAATTGCCATCCAGGAAGCACTAAGAGCAATTACACCAGATGACCTAGTATTGCCTCTTCTGCTAGTTAAGCCCCAAGCCTGGAATGAACCCCTGCCCTTATGATAAACACCTGAAGGAAGATCAAAAGAAATTAAACTGCTGTCAGATCTCAGGCCCTGGAGATCCTCTGTAATGATGTGTTGGCAGGTAAAAGTGATTTCTGACCTGAGCTCTGTTTGTAGAGCTCAAGGGAAAACTGACAGAGTGCCAAATGTTTTTTAAAAACCCCAACCAAACAAACAAAAAAAACCCAACAAACCATATTTTTTTTAAATAAAATACCTTTTTTATAAAATAAATTACTGAATTCTCGTTGCATTGCTTAGTAAACTTAAGAAAAGGGAAGGTAATTCAACCTAAGTAAGAAAAAAGTTTTCAAGTACTGGCAAGGCAGATATTTTATGTGGCCTTCCTTGCAGATTTCCTAAGAAGCTGGTGGCAGAGTGGATAAACTCTTGGCTGCTAGCCAAAAACTTGACAGTTTAAATTTACCAGCGGAACCAATGAAGATAGATGTAGCAATCTGTTAATGTAAAGATCACAATCTTGTAAAATCTATGGGACAGTTCTAACTCGACCCTAAAATATTGCTAGAAGTCAGAACTGACTTAAAGTATTGCTAGAAATAGAATTAACAGTACTTCCAACATGATACAGTGGAACACTTTGCAAAATTTTCATTGTGACACAGTTTTACCCACATGTGAGATGAAATAAAAGTAATTAAAACATGTTGTTGTTGCTGTTGTTATGTGCCATCCAGTCTCTTGTAACTCATAGGGACCTTATGTACAATAATAGCCCTTAACCCTGCTCTATCTCTTGTTAATCTTACTGTCTCTGACACACCTATCCCCATTACCCCAGCGACAGAATCAACTAGTCGTTACCCAGCTCTCTGATGCATAGCAAGTAATGGCAAAGACCATGGCCTGTGTCAGGAGCACCTTAGTCTGCATACTGACATTGCTCCTCAGTACTGTGGAGAGGTCTCTGACACTAGACTTCCCCAGTGCAATTCATCTTTTAATTTCCTGGCTGCTGGTACCAAGAGTGTTGTTTGTAGAGCCAAACAAACTAAGGTTGTCAACAATCTCAATCTCTTCACTACCTATCATGATGCTGCCAATCGGCCCAGTGGTAAGAATCTTTGTTTTCTTCATTTGAACCTCAATCCTTATTGAAGGCTGCAGTCCTTGACCTTCTGCAGCAGGTGTTACAGGTCCTCCTCAGTTTCAGCAAGCAGGGTTGTATCATCTGCATAATGCAGATAGTTGATGAGTCTACCCCCAATCCTGATGCCACACTTCTCCTCATAGAGCCCAGCCTCCCAGATAATCTGTTCCGCATATAAATTGAAAAGATACGGAGGTAGGACACATTCTTGATGCACACCCTTCCCAATTTTTAACCACGCAGTATCTCCTTGCTCTGTTCTGACAACTGCCTCCTAGTACAAGTGTAAGTTTCACATAAGTGCAATCAAGTGTTCTAAGATTCCTATTTTTCTCAGAGTCAGCCACAGTTTGTTGTGATCCACACAGTCAAATGCCTTTGCATAGTCAATGAAACACAGATAGACATTCCTCTGGAACTCTCTGCTTTCAGCCAAGATCCATCTGACATTACCTATATCTCTAGTGCCACTGCCCCTTCTAAACACAGCCTGCACTTTTGGCAGTTCTCTGTTGATGTGCTGTTCTAGTCATTTTTTTAATTAGAATATAAAAACACAGATCACATTTGTAAATGAAAGATATAGCATCAGATGCTTTTTCTGTGCTGTAACTATTTAACGGTGAGTCTCAGCCTACAGTGTACAGTCAACATGTCTGTCAAAGTTTTTGATGTTATCTTTTGTTCTCTGTAGATCTTCTAACACCTTCTTTCAAAGAAAATATCATCTTTATTCCCTAAGGGCAGTGCCACCCAGGCTCCTATTGGTATCACCTTTATTAAGATGAATAAACCTGTATTGGTTAAGAGCGAGAGAGCATTGAAACTAAGTTCTTTATCTCTTATTTATAGAACGTCCACAGCATTTACTCACCTAATTTCTGAACATGAAACTGCTCATCTATGAAATGGCAGGGTTGAGTAACATTAATTACCTTTTAGGTTGTTGTGAGTTTTAAATGAGCCCCATAAAAAATGACACAGTGCTAGGCATCCGAGAAATCCCATATGATAGCATTATTACGCACAGCATCTAAGTTACATTATCTTTTCCTACATGTAATTGATAGCACTCACATCCTCAAGTAAAACTTCTTTCAAAGAATTTGTTTTCTTCTCGCCTCGTCATCATCATTATTTCCATCAAGTCAGAACTGACTCAGCTAATCCCCTTGGTTTCGGACCTGGATATTTCATGGAAGGAGCTTCGAACCACCACTTGTACTAATTAGCAGTGCAACTTCTTTCAGCCTATACCACCAGAGCTCCCTGACAGAGCTTAGAAGAAGTACACAGTCCCAGGTTTAAATAAATTGTCCATAAATGGAATCCAGTTTTACCAACAACATAATTCAAAGCTATTTATGCATGATGGTTAAGAGAACACTGGCTCCATGGAAGCATTGGTTAGAAAGAATTTAAATTCTTA